GACCCTAGTCCATTGGAAAAAGAGGGTCTCTATAGTAGCAATGTTTGGGTTCTTTCTTTCATGTCCAAGCGTCCTGGCAGGGGTGCTGAAATAAGGCCCAGCCTCAAAAGCTTGAAGCTATGCATTAGCTTCTGAGGCCTTTGCATACTAATACTAAAAATAATACAAATACTAATACTAATGCTAGTACTAGAACTAATACTAATACTCATACTAACACGAATACGAATACTAATACTAATACGAACACTAATAATAAAACTAATATGAATACGAATACTAACTAATACTAATATGAATACGAATACAAATACTATAGTACTAATACTAATACTCATACTCATACTAATACGAATACGAATACGAATACCGAATACTAACTAATACTAATACGGGTACGCATACTAATACTAGTACTAATACTAGTACTAATGCTATTACCATTAGGATTTACCCAGGGACCCCTCAAACAATTTTTGATTCAGGACGCCAAAATTGTTTGGGGGGGACTACACACTAAAGCGAGTGCAACATTAAATCCTTAAACCCTCAACCTTAAGCCCCGAAACCCTACACCCTAAAGCCTAAACCCCTCAACCCCTAAACCCCTAAACCCCTACCCCCTACACCCCTAAACCCTTAAACCCCTAAACACGAAAGGGCACCTCCACTACAACCTCCAGGCACAGATTGGACAAACCCTGAACCCCAAAGCCTAAACCCTAAACCCTATATCGGACCAACCCCTCAAGCCCCACGCACCTCAGCTTGAGCTTGGGCGGCCTCTTCGGCCACCAGATGGGTTTGCCTATCCAGGATCAGGGTTTGCGGTTTAGGGATCAGGGTTTAGGGTTTAGGGTTTAGGGGTCTGGGCCTGTGGGTCTAGGACTAGGGTTTAAGGTTTTTTTTTTTCGATTAGAGTTTAGAACTTAGGGTTGCGGATTCAGGTTTAAGTTCAGGAGTTAGGGTCTGGGATTTAAGGTTTAGGGTTTAGGGCTTGGGGTTTGGGGTGGTGATATGGGCACCTGCAGAGGCATAGTGGAAAAAGAAGCGGCAAGTGAGATGGAAGGTGGAGCGACAGAGGGCTTTCTTTCCCCTGTACGGCTTTGCGGGGCCAACTCGCACCCTAAACCTTAAAGGTTGAAATCTCACCGCCAAACCCTTAGCATAAGCCCTGAACCCTGAACCCAGTCCTATTCACCCGAACCCAAGCCAAGATCTTGAAGCCAAAGTCCAAACACTTGGCCTAAACCGTAAACCCTGCATGCCAAACCATTAAACTCTTCGCCCTCAACGAAGGCCTGAAAGCTAAATCTGAAACACAAATCTGCAGGAGTTTTCTTCGTCCGCGCGCAGGCGCTTGCACGGGGGCTCTGCCGCAGCCTGCAAAGAAACAAACGCATACTTTCTGGTAGAGTTTCAGGGCTTTCGGGGTTTTGCCGTCTAGGCATGTAGCGCCTTGAAGTACGGGTTTAGGCTTTCATGGTTGAGGGTCTAGGTTGGGTACTGCCCCCACTCAGTAACTGTTGGAGAATAAGTATAAGATGGGTATATATAGGCGTTAATAGGACCCCCAATCCAGACTGTTACTGGGTGGGGGGGGCAGTACCCAAGGTCTAGGGTTCCTAACAACTCCTTAGTCCTAAGGTTGAAACCATTGGCCCCTAGTATGTACATACCCTACATGTACCCTTTAGGGTTCCTAGAATTCCCCCTAAAAGGCCCAAGGGCCCAGATTAGGGGCCCATACTTATTACCTTAGATTTAGGGTGTTGGGTTTAGGGCTCAGGGTTTGATTCGGGTTGTCAAAACAGGCATCCTTGCTAGCATTCCAAAGCCCTCCTTCAAGTTTCATGGGACTTAGTAATTAGATACAACTGGGCTTAAACCCCTATTTATCATTCCCCTAACTGGACTTCTGTAGGTTGCCCCAATTATAGGTAATTCTTGGCCTCTACATCACGCTAGCCCACAACTGAGTAGCGTTTATTTGGTGGTTGAACCTAGTAAGATAATATCCCTTATGTAAAATACTATACCCCAAAAGGAGGATATAATCTTACTCTATATTTGGTACCATAGTATCCTCAAATTCCATACTACTAAACTGCACACCTTTGAATCCGACATGTAAGAGCCGAAGGGATGAGAAAGTTTTCACGGGTTGGAGACATGCTGGGAGGCTCGGGGTAAATCTAACCCGAGTAGAACTGAATTCAGATATGGTTATAGGCTTATAAGTACCAGTTTTCATCTGGAAAGCATGATCCTGAACCGACCCCCGTTTGACGGGTATCTGTAGAAGGTAATTGGGGTTTTCTAGGTCCTCGAGTATCCCCAGGGTCTCCCATAAACCCCAAACCCTGAACCCTGAACCCTAACCCTGAACCCTAAAACCCTAAACCCTTAACCCTAAACCTAAACCCTTAACCCTAAGACCTAGAACCCTAAAACCCTCTACCTGTCTACGAAACTCTCACATCCAACAAGCTGCGTGGTAAGCTCAACCCTGGCTGCCAGCCCTGCGACTAGGTCACTGCAATGTCAAAGAGAGACATATATAGCAAACCGTCAGATGGACTCGAACGCAGCAGTCGGCAATCCAAGAGGTGTTCCAGGGTTGCAAAACAGAAGACAATCCAATGGAAGCCCAGGATGTGCGTGCCTGCCCCGCCGGCGCGATCCTCGAACGCAGGGCCGCGGATAGCCTGCGAAGCGTCTGGCGCCTCTCAGGACGTTTGGGGCTTAGGGATTTAGGGTTTGGGAGTTAGGGTCTAGGATGTAAGGTTAAGGGTTTAGGATTTGGGTTAAGGGTTTAGGGTCTGAGGTTTCCAAACCCTGAACCCTAGAGGGTGTGGCGGGTTTAGGGTTTAGGGCTGATAGCGTGTAGGGATTTGCGAGTTCGGGTTTAGAGTCGACGGCTATGGGTTGGTTTTAGGGTTCAGGCTACCTTTGGAACTGAAACTGAAGGCATGACTCAAATATCAGCTTGCACACCTAGACCCTAAGCCCTTCATGTTCAAAGGTTTAGGGCGTGGGGATATAGGGTTTAGGGTGTAAGGATTGGATCTGGTTCTGATTTTCAACTACAGCTTTTCCAGCCAGCACCCCCTGCAAAACCAGTGCCAAGGTTCTGCGTAATTAATTTCATGTAGCCTTGCGCCCTAAACCCCGAACCCTAAACCGCTAGTTGGCCTTACAAAAGACTATAGAAGAGCCCATGGTTCATGCGTCAGTGCTGAATTAAAAACCCCAAACCCTAAACCCTAAACCCTGGTCTTAAGGTTTAGGGTTCTGTCTTTAGGCTTCTGGGTGTAGGTTTCAGGGTTTGGGGTTGAGGGTTCCGCGCTTTTGTACGGTTCAGATCCAGAGTTCAAGGTTCAAGGTTTAGGGTTTAGAGTTAGGGGTTGGGGGTTAACGGTTAAGGGGTTCAGGGGTTCCGGATCTAAGGGTTTAGGGGTCGCAGTTTCCTGCTGCCACGTCAAGTTTAAGACTGCACAGTCCCTCCCTCCTAAATGTTGCCTGTATATTACCCCCCGCCTGGTAAGGCTATCCCGTTTAGAAATATGGCTACATCCCAAGTTCTAAACATTTACTAGGTCCCAGAAACCTCCAAGTAGGGTCGCCTTTCCTATCCCCGAATAGGCCAAATCAAGGGAGGAGAACCCTGGGGGCATGGGGAGCGAGTGGGGGTGGGTGGTTAGGGAACCTCTAAACACGGCTGAGGATCACGGCGAAACCTAGGGTTTTGGGTTTAGGATTTAGGGTGAAGGATTTAGGGGATCATGACTGCAATAGCCATCTCACATGAACCTTGCTGAAACCCTAAACCCTAAACCCGAAAACCCAAGCCAACCCCATCGTTGGGCTGTTGCGGGTTAAGATTGCTATGACGTGAATACGACACCTTCAATTCTTAAACCCCCAATCCCCAACACCAGAACCTAAGCCCTTGAAGCCTCTGATCCTGAAACCCTATGCTGTAATCCCCCAAAGCCCCACCACGATTTACAGCCCCTACATACTGTATCATAATATGGTAGTTTCCAAAGAATATATAATCCCAGCATTGGGTACAGCCCTATTCCCTTAACGCCAATCCCCGGACCCCACTACCTGAACCTTTAGTCCCTGCACTGGTTGCTCTTTGATCCCCAAACGCGAAACAGAGAGAGAGAGAGAGAGCGAGAGAGAGAGAGCGGGAATCGACCAGCACATACGGTGCGGCCTGCCGCTCATGTCCCTCTCGACATCTCAGGGGGGCTCCGTAAACGTCATCGCCCCCCTCCGTCCCAGAGTTCAAGTGGGGAGGCTAGCTAATGTGGACAGGAGGCTTGAAAAACCCTAAATCCGCAACAAAAAGGTGCTTGCGCACTCTTTGCAAGGAATAAGCCCATGACAGGAACTGTGGTGTATGCAGAATGAAGCACTTGCTCTCGTACCATATTGGCGGCTTTGTCCATGTAGCAGCTGGTTCACGTGCCAGCGTGCTTGTAAATGTTCGACGTGCTTGGCACGAAGAAGGGTCAACATGTCTTGTTTGCTGTTCTGCTGGCTGCACTGTAGGGAAGTAATCGTAAGACACCACATGTGCAAGTACCCTGAGAAAAGTTAGCAAGACAGAACATGCGCGAATACAGAAAGATTAGTAAGACAGAACATGCGCAAATACAGAAATAGGATAGTAAGACAGAACATGTGCAAATAAGATGAAGAGAAAAAGTAGCAAGACAGGACCTGCGCAAGTACCGCAAAAAATAGCAATACGGGACATGCTCAAATACCGCAAGAGAAGGGCATACAGGACTTGAGATGAGCTTCACGAAACGAGTGCATGGAACTCTCACTCAACCTGCTGCCCAATGTTTTCGTAGTTGCGCAGACTCTTGTTTCTTGTTCGGCTCGGTGAATGGCCAGTCAGGTCAACCTACGGGGCAATCCCTTGGCACGAGATGCATGATCGTAGAATGCGGGTAAACGAAGAAAGCGGCCGTCACCAATGGTGAACGGGGGCGATCAACGCAGCCCACACCTACTAGGATACTACAATGCCAGGGGGTGAAACACACCTCCAGAGCTACGTAATGGTACACTATCCTTTTAGTGTGTTCCATGGCATTGCGTACTCTAGTGGTAAGAAGTCGTTTTGGCTCACATGGCGTACGAGCTATCTTCAAGGCAACGCATCCGTTCATGCTCGCTTCTACGACGAAGACAACTTCGCACGCTGCACTGAGGCTATGGTGTGCAAAGACTCTAAATAAGTCCGGTAGGACTCTTCAGTAGTGCGCCCTCTCATTTGCAGAAGGGTTGGGTTGTTAAATCTGCCTAGGCCAAGGCGCGCAGCTTGAAGCGCTCCTGGGTACCCAGCAGTGGCATCGTCAATCTGAAAGTTGAACGGCAGTCCAACTGCAGCAATAGCAATCTTCGTGCTTTCTTCCACTCCGTCCTGGGAGCAGCGTTCAGCTGCTGGAGTATCAGATGTCGTGACGAATGCCTCGATCTGGCACAAGGTCAAGATCGTTGTCGAAGAATCGAATGTTGGCACTAAGGTTTCCAACTTGATCATTTGGATGGCAGCGATTCTACCCTGCAAATCTTGGTCAGCAGAGTTCTTCCAAGAAGTCTTGGTAATCGCGACTCACAATGAGTCCCAAATGATAAGCATAGACGTTGCACCTTAGGTACTCAATCAATCCGCTGAAACTCTGGAAGATCGGCTTGCTGATGAGCTCGCGCATTGCAAGCTCTTGGCCTTGCGTCAAGGGCATTGTATATGGCTCTCTCAAGCACTCATACAAGCTCAGGATGCAGGGCAGAGCAGTAAATCCGGCTCCTCTGACTATTTCAATGGCTGCGGTGCGCATTGTATCGAAGTCCACATTGTTGACGTGACCGTATGTAACGATCGCGATTCGTCTTGGATGCAGACACGAAGGAAATTCCACCTGTTCTTCGTTGGAGATCAACATCCAGCCGTCGGTAACGGCACCTGCTCCAATAAATGGCGTGCTGGCTTGTGGATCCGGGGCTACGGTTGATGACCTCTGAGCGTGGTAAGCGCATGTCATGATTTCATCTCCGGTAGGCGTCTTGTGGACATACTTGCCGCTAAACAGCCTCACTGCCGAGCGGGCAGCTGTCATGTAGCAGCTGTCCAATCTGGACAATAGCTCCTGGCCGTTCTCGAACCTGAAATCTGACGTGGTGCGCGTAGCGATGTCCAGAATTGGGATCTTCTCTATCACAACTGCTTTTGCCTTCATTGCTGTGATGATTCCGACATCATTCAGCATGAAATGCACTGGGATGGACCTCATATTGCTCTTCTGAGTTCCGGTGTCCATCAATGAGAGCAAATACTTAAGGAACGCCGTGATGGCAAGACCGTCCCCTACCAGTATGTACTCTGCACGCACAGTCTTGCTCATCGGGACAGAAAGCTTAGAATCGATCGCTGCTGTGACAAGAACCTCGCGTCCAGCGTGGGACTGGGACTCCTTCAGCTTCGGCTGACCAGCGGCTCTGCGATCATTCCGCTTCTTCTCTTTGTCCTTTCGAGCATCATCCTTCGACTCATTGGGAACTTTGGGCTTCTCATCCCTCGGCTTAGCGGAGACTGGATTCTTGAACCCCGTGACTTGGTTCCCAGAACCGAGAAGGAATACCTTTTGACGTTTCACAGGTTGGCCAAAGGAACCATCAACCTCGGAGGGACCTACGGAATCTTGCCTCTTCCTCCCAGCCATGGTTTGAACCGAAACCTGACGTCAACGAAAATGTTCAGCTCATGAACTATTTTCGAAGCGAAACAGAGGGTCCCCAAAAAGGTATGAAGTGCTAAAAGTTGTCATAAAGTCCCTCCTTAAATCCTAAACTTACCCTAAACCCTAAACCTTTACACCCTGAACCCTAGACCCCAAGGCCCTAAACCCCAAACCCTAAACAGTGTGGCTGAAACCGTTCTGTCAGGGCGCTCGGATACCCGGACCCGAAGGGCGTTCACGCGCCGAAGTAGAGCCTCGGGTTCGGATTTTGGGTTGGGATTAACGGGGTGGAGGATTAGGGTTCAAGGCTTTGGGCTTAGGGTTCAGGTTTCAGGGTTCAGGGTTTAGGGTTTAGTGTTGGCGGGTTCGTAGAGACATGATAGAGGGATTATGTAGGATCATATACTTACCACCAGTACGGTTAAGGATTAGGTTTTAGGGCTTGGGGTTCAAGACTGCTTCAAGGTTTAGGGTGTAAGGTCAAAGCAATCTGCTTCAAGGTTACAGTTCAGGTTTTACAGTTTAGTTTAGGGTTCAGGGTTGAGGGTTTATAGGGTTTATAGAGTTTAGGGTTTAGGGGTTTGGGCCTAAGCGTTAAGGTTTCTAAGTTGCTGGTGTCCGTGCTGGCTTGAGGCCCTAAACCCTAAACCCTAGGGTGTGGGGCTACCGGTGGGAGATCTAAAGCTTCGGGTTTTTGGGTAAATGGTCTAGGGTTTAGGGTCGAAGGCTAGCGTCTATATCAGAGATACACGGTTTAGGGTTTAGGGTTCACCACGTCCAGCAGCAACTTGGCGGCATTGGTCTCGGCCTCCAGATGCTCACAGCTGCTTCCCTGCAGGTGCTTCACAGCCCAATTTTGGAGCAACTGCTTGGTTTCTTTTTGCGTTCCAAAGAACCTGAGAAGGACATCCTAAACCCTATTTATATATTTAGTACTACTAGTATTACTCTTATTAATACTATCAGTTAAAACTATTATGATGATTGTTGCTATTACTTTTATTGCTGTTATTCTGACAGTCTCCTCGTCATTCAGCATCTCAACCTCGACGCGCAGTGCGTTATCAGCGATGGTCCGACCTCTTTGCTACAGTCTCCCATCTCTTACGTTTAGGGTTTAGGGTTTCAGGCTTTGAGCTTAGGAGGATGAGGGTTTAGGGTTTAGGGTCAATCCCCCATATCCCCCTTTAAGAAGTTCAGACTACGGCTCAGATTTACAGGCTATTACTGTAGGGGGGGGAGATTGACCTAATACGGTCTGCCATCGCCATCTGCAGCGAGTGACCCCGCAAAGGTCCCCAAACCCTAAACCCTAAACCCTAAATCCCTAAGCCGTAAACCCTAAACCCTAAATCACTAAACCCTGAATCCTAGATCCCTCTTCAAGCCTGAGCAAACGGTCAGCATAGGCCTGAAGGGCCATCTTTCAACAACTTCTGCATCACCCAATCCCCCATTCCCTGCTGTAAGCATATAGGGTTTTGGGTTGTAAGGGTAAAGTAACCAAGCCACATCAACAAAAGTAGTAAAGATACTATGAGATGGATATTAAAGGGCTTCTTTGCATTGAAGCAATTTAGCGAATGAGGACTCCTCAAAACAGCCCTACATCCCATGCCCTAAACCTTGGACCCTGCACCTGAAACCTGAACCCTACACCCTAGCTCGAAGGAAACCTTTCAGGCAGGGGGCAGTGGGCAGCGGCGACGCTTGTGACCTGCTGTCCCAAAGGGCTTAGGGTTCAGGGTTCTTGCGCCGTCTGAAGCCCATTTCGAATCCTAGGAATCACAGAAGTTGAAGAACCCCAAGTGGTACAGGATCGTGTCCATCAACGGTAGGATGACATACGGTAGGGTCTGAATTTATGGCCCCCCTACTTGGACACCAAAGTTATACACCCACCAATGTTCCTAAGCATCACTATATACACCCATCAATGGCCATGATTCCACATAGAAACAACAAAAAGTCTTCTTCTGAAGGCTTCGAGGGGTTCCAAATTCGTGTCCCAGGCCCCCTGAGGGATCTAAAAATTGAACTTCCCAACAGTGCCCCAGATTCCGCAACGCAGCAATGGCTCGCTTTTGCGGAGTTCCATTTCTTTAAATCTTTTACGCAGGGATCTTGGGTGGCAGGAGAATCTGGAGAAGGTCTATTTGGGGACTTGTCAAAACAAAAGTTCCGTTTCGGGCCCCTGTTGCAATATGGCTCCTAACAATTTAAGGAAAAAGGACACCGCCATGTAAGAAAATGCTACTTAAACCCTAAACCCCTAAACCTTAAACCCTAAGCCCATCGCCCTGAAATATAAACATGCTGAGTTGGACCCCACGCCCTTTTTCGCCCAGAAGCTAACGCACGTAGCTCCCCTTGTAGCCCTAAACCCTGGCGAAACTGTGGATGGGAGAAATCTTGCACTACCTGTATAGGTTGATGTTCATACAGGGTTCAGGGTTGATATTCGATTTTAGGGATCTTAAGACGTGCAAGATTTCCTGCCTTCACCGAAGTACATTGGGTCCAGAGGTTTCCACTTCCGCGAAAATTAGGGTTTAAGATATACGGTGTAGTTAGGATTGTCGCATCATCTCTTGCAGCGTCCCTAAACCCTAAACCCTAAACCTCCATGGCTTAGGAACTCCAGTGCTTGTTGGTGTTGCTCCAATGCCCCTTAGGTGTCGGTTTCAAGGAGGTCTGTGTCCTCAGCGTTCCTGGATGGGTTAGGGTTTAGGGTTTAGGGTTTAGATTTTAGGGCGACCAGCCAGTGAGAAATCCGCTGGTCCCGTCGCTGCCTCTGCTCCTTCAGAGCCGTGCCGAGTACAGGCCGTTTGTTTCATGTATGAAGTACTATGTTTTTGATCTGTTGGTCTTGTTGCTAGTAATTCCTGTATGCGTCTTACACACTTGAAACTTTTTAAGGGTGCATGCATCTAACAAATCAAAGCTACACTGGTAACTAACCTTTCCTGCTACTTTCTAAATCGTGCTACGTACGTTGGCTCAAATTTCGCTCACAACATTCCTTAAAACCAAAGCCTTCAGCGAGATGACCCTAAATCCTAAACACTGAATCCTAAACCCAAACCCTGAACACCAACCCTGAACCCGAAACCCCTACACCCAAACCCCAAATCGCTGCTCTTCGCCTCCTCCGCAACACCCCACGGAAACACTCATGGCCAATGACAGGAGGGCTTCTCCAAGTGAGAGGTACACAAGGGGTATATAGGGAGCATGGGGAGTTATATAAGGGCTTTATAAAACTTATGCAAGCCATAGTCTAAAGTCCTGAATAACCCTTATAGTAGTTCCCTTTTTATTCAATTAAGCAACCCCTTTAAGGAGTTTAGACTACCGGCTCACGTAAGGTCCTCTAACAAGTACCTTGGAAGGTTACAGCACTACTAGAGATGTACATCATTTCAACTCTGGCCTCTTGTACCTACACTTAACATCTCTAGACATGCAGGATGCCGTAAATCATCCGAGGCCCCCGTCAACGTCAACCCAGAAGGCCGAAAAAAATTGGCCTGCCGGACAAGGAAGTTTCAGCGTGCCGCAGCGCCTTCAAATGCATCAGGGTTCAGTGCTTCAAGCCCAAGATTTAGTGGTTCCTTGCAAAGGGGATGAGGGATATTCAAGGTTCAGAGTTTAGGGTGCGCAGTTTAGGCTTCGGAGGAGGTTAGGGTTTAAGGTTTATAGGCCTTGGGGTCTAGCTTACAAGTACAAGTAGAGCTTGAAGTTTAGAGTTTAGGGGTGAAGGCCAGCACGCCAGAATGTGAGATCCCAGACTGTCTCGGAATTCATGGCGTCAGCGTTTAGGGCAAGGTTTTCGTAGTTGCACGGTTTGGCACTGTAGGGGGAGAGGGGTATGCTAATACACGTATGTCCATATTATGTATACTTAGTCCAAGTTTCTCAACAACAACCCACCCCCAGAACATAAACCCCAAACCCCGAAGGATTTAGGGTTGGGTGTCCAAGGAAAGCAAGGGGGATGCGTGCATTAGGCAACTGCTTCCAAAGTTCAAGGTTAGGGCCTTTGTTTCCAGCTCAGCACGAGCATTGAAGGTTTAAGGTTGAGGGTTTTAGCTTCAGGGTTCAAGTATTTGACAGAAGCAGTTCACAAAATTGGAGGACCCTTCAGAATACCAGGGATATGTGCAGAGTAGGTTTACGGGGTACTTGTAGCCATGTGCCAAGTTGATTTTACTGCTTTGGCAGCAGGTGCACACCAGGCGTCGTCAATGACAGAACGCGACATGCGCATGAGGTGCCACTGGCTGGCCTGCCACCCGCAGAAAAGCTCATGGCAAATGATGGCTGCACCAACCTTGCGTCGAGCGTCGCCATGCGGTGCGCGAGCGTACTGCTGGCGCCCTCCTGCAACCAGGAAACCCACAGGGCCATGCACGAATGTCACAACCCAAACTCCGCCCGCAGGCCTCATGCACTGGGTGAATTGCCAATTCACCTAAAAGTGCTACTTTGTGAACTCCTCGCTTAAAAGATACGAACTAACATGCTACGGGACCAGAACTAGCAGCCCGCACAGCTCAGCTGAACACCTCGATCCCGAGCATCAAACTCCATGTGGGGTTTTCCAGAATTAGGCTTCCCTTTCTCAAGGGCTCCCCGTAAACCCTAAACCCGAAACCCTAAACCCCAAGGATTATGGTACTACAGCATCTTGCGGGTGGTACAAGGGGGACCCAAACTTTGGAGATTCTATGAAATACTCCCTGAGCCCCAAACCCTAAACTACACCTATGCAGAGTTGTAACCAGAGCTATCCTACTTGTACCCCTACCTATACCTACCGGTTAATGGTTTAGGGCTTAGGGGACTCCCAGTAAACCCTAAGTCCTCCCGACCTAGAGCAGCCCAGCCCCTTAACAAGACATGAAGATACTAAGCACTAGGCACAGAGGTATGCAAACTTCTTGATAATTACATGGGTTCCTCTAGGTGGGCCGTAAACCCGAAGTCCGAACCCCTAAACCCTAAACCCTTGCCCCCTAACGCCTAAACCCTAAACCCCTAAAGCCTAAACCCTATAACTTTCCAGGAACCTCACAGTCGAAGTCCAAGGAGGTGGCGTCGTAGCGCGGCGCCACGGTATCTGATGGCGGTTTAGGGTTTAGGGTTTAAGGTTCGGGGTTTAGGGTTTAGGGCGTAGGCCTTAAGGTGTAGGTTTTTGGGTTTAGGGTTTGCTGCAATGTTGCATAGCGGCAATGAATCATAGATTGTAAGACTCGTCAGCCGTTCTGTTGCTTGCGA